CCCTTGAGCAAAAATTTCCCAATTATGCATATGCTTTGTCCTCTACCATATGTATGCATATATTTAGGGGGAGCTTAGTCTATATAATATGAGAGCCAAATTTTGTGATCTATTTCACTCTACCCACAAAAGATCACAAGGTTTGACCCTCCCTTGTGCTACTAATGTCTTCCTTTTTGGTGTTTGATTCCAAAGGGAGAGAATTTAGAGGACCAAAAGCAAGCATTAATTTGTAGTAATGGTCCGAGAAAGGGATGATAGTGGATTATGGATTAGCCTATGTAATGGGGAGAATTTGTAGGAAGCAAGGCTTAAATCCATAATACCACATGGGGACATTTGCAAGGGCAAGATAAGTTTTTATATAGTCTTACAAGTAGTATCTTTTAGCATCATATAATCTTGCCTCTTGCATTCCATCCTAGCAAGTAAGTAGTTTTTAAATTTTAAAATTTTATTATTTGCTTACTTTGGTCGTGTTGTCATCAATCACCAAAAATAGAGAAATTATAAGGAAAATGGACCTTAGGCCCATTTATTTTGGATTTTGGTGCTTGATGACCAACACAACTAAATTGAACTAATGAATTTGTAAGTGATTGTTTTGTAGTTCAATATGATGCAAGACGTAACTTGGACAAAGGCGATGTGATGATCCGATGATCAACACCTCAAGCAAGACCTTAGGAGCACAAGAGAAGATCCAAGATATCAAGCAAAGTCCAAGCATGAAGATAGGAACCAAGCCACACGCAAGATCGTGAAGAAACAAGCTCACAGCAGCGACCGGACGCTGAACTAGATGCTGATGAAAAGCGACCGGACACTCGATCAGAGGCTCGGCAACAGCAACAGCGACCAGACGCTGGCGGCAAACCGACCGGACGTAGGACAACTATGTCCGATCGAGTACAGAGAGGTTCTAGAGCAGCGAACTTACGACCGGACGTGTCCGATCAGGACAACTCCAGCGTCCGGTTAGTAGCAGAAAAGCGGGATTTCATCCCCAATGGCTACTTTCTAAGTGGGGTTTATAAATACAATCCCCAACCGACCAAATGAGGTGTGTGGAGCTAAGGAAACATACCAAGGGTGTTGATACACCATTTTTGTGATCTCCACATGCTTAGTGCTTAGTATTTTATTAGGTGATTAGCGTAGGTGCTTTGCGAAGTGCTTAGGTTGATTAGACCACCGCTTATGCGCTTGCTCTAGGTTTAGTCCTAGTGTTTAGTGAGGTTTGCATACCTCTTACCACTTGGTGCTTGCTCGCACCATTATTATACATCGGAGGGGCTTGTAGTCTTGCGAGATCACACCAACCGCGTTTGTGGTGTGTCTGCCACCGTGTACCGGAGGGAACAAGACCCACGGCGTTTCGGACGAAAGCTTGATAGCGAAGACGGCGAGGAGCATCTAGGAGAGGCTTGTCGGAAGGCACGTCGGAGACCCACTTGTGCGTGGGGAAGGTCCGAGGCTATCCACGGAGTTACCCGACCGGGAGCTTGGCCCTTGCGAGGGATTCCTTGTGAGGGGCTCCAACGAGGACTAGGGGGAAGCTTGCGCGCTTCTCGATACCTCGGTAAAAATACCAGAGTCGTTGACGGGAGTTTGCATATCTCTACCTTGCTCTTTAGCTTCCACATTTACATTGATTGTATTACTCCTTTTGCGGTAGAGATAGCAACACATACTAGCAAAACCATAGTCGTACATCTAGATAGTTTATCTTTTACATAGGTTTTGCTAAGTGTAGAAAAAGAGGCCATAGTTTAGAGTTAGAATTTTAAGTTGCCTAATTCACCCCCCTCTTAGACGTCACGGTCCCCTTTAGTGGAGATCGTGCCCATTTTATACCGACCTCTGCACGATCGTACGATCTGGATCCGGGGCATGTAGTGTTCAACTAACCGTGCGCTGTCGACTCAAGGAGAGGTAAATGATGTCTTGAATGTGAATGTAAATGAACAAAGATTTTGAGAACAACTATCGCTTTCATTGATCTCTTATAGAGTGAAAAGGTGTCTGTTTACACGGAGAGGCAACTGTTCACAGGAATAGTCGACAACCCAAAGGATATGCCCCTTCGGGTGGCATCCTAACGCTAACACGTTAACTACTACCCCTCTCTCTAACTATATATCCTTTCTTGTGGATGAGATCACATGGTGAGGAGACGCCTATTCACCAGTGAAGAGGCAGGCATTGATTGACAACACTTCCCCTTGATCGAATTCTTCTTGAGATCAATACACTGTAGTCTGGATTCCTCGAAAAACCCTATGGGAAAAATCTAAGGAATATGTATGTATAGATATGCCATAAAACTCATTTAAACCTTATAGTAGAATAAGAAGAAAAAAAGCATATGTGAGTGTGATTTAAATAAACCACTATGTTATTGGTATCCCATTAAAAACCTCAATGGGGAAAAAACATTGGAGATACAACATATAGATTACTCCCCCAAAAACATTTTAAGGGAAAAAAATATGAGGAGCAATATAAAGAGATATGCCGCTAAAACTCCTGTAAAAATCCAGTGGGAAAATTAGAAGAAAATATGACGACATATTATTGGTATTACCTCTAGGATAACTCACATGAAAAATATTTTCAGGAAAAAACCATGGATGAGTTGTGAGGGCAATATGTGTCTTTGATATTTTCCACAAAAACTCCGGTGGGAAAATAGAAAATATGACACATGCTTATGTTAATATTACCTCATTAAAAACTTTAACAAGAAACCTTGTGAGTAAAACTTATGAAAGAAAAAAGTATAATATGATGCTGGTACATGTCAACATTTAGGAGATGTCTCCCCTTAATTCTGGCAAATCTCGAAGTCGCCGCATACCAATTTCATGTACCAATTTTTGAAACACAGAAGTTGGTAAGGACTTAGTAAATAGGTCAGCGAGATTATCATATGACTTAATTTGCAAGATGTTTATTTTCCGCTTTCTTATAATTCATGGGGATAAAACAGTTTATGAACAATATGCTTAGTGATATTGCTCTTTATGTAACCTGTTTGCATGTGTAACACAAGAGGAATTATCTTCATAGATAATTATAGGTGATTCAATTGAACTAATACCACATGACTGTTGTATGTAGTTAATCATTCTACGAAGCCATACACATTCTCGTGATGCCTCGTATAGAGCAATAATTTCAGAATGATTAGTGGAGGTCGCTGTCAGAGTCTGCTTAGAAGACTTTCATGAAATAGCTGTACCTCCATGTAGGAATACAAATTTTGTTTGGGATTTTCCGTTATGAGGATCTGATAAGTAACCAGCATCAGTATAACCAATCATACTGGGATCATGATTTTTCTTGAAGAATAAACCAAGATCCTTTGTGTCATTAAGGTATCTGAGGATACACTTCGCTCCCGTCCAATGACGACGAGTTGGGTCCGCACTATGCCTAGCCAGTAAGTTCATTGCAAATGCGATATCAGGCCTGGTGCAATTTGCAAGATACATAAATGCGCCAATGACACTGAGATATGGAATTTCTGGTCCCAACATCTTTTTCCCAATATCCCGTGGTCTAAATGGATCTTTCCCTATTTCTAAGGAACGAACAAACATCGGAGTTTTATTAGGGTATGATTTATCCATATTAAATCTCTAATATTTTCTGGATATAGGCTGATTGATGCACTAAAATCCCTGAAGGACGGTGCTCAAGTTGTAAGCCTAGGCAATATTTGGTCTTACCCAAATCCTTCATCTCGAATTCTCTCTTTAGATGTTTGCGTGCTTCTTCTATATCCCTTGGGTTGCCAATGATATTTAAATCATCAATATATACGGATATAATGCAAAATCCCGTTCGAGATTTCTTAATAAAAGCACATGGGCAATCATCATTGTTAGTGTATTCCTTGCAAAAGTCACACCAGTAGCGATTTGGTGCAAGTGTCGGCGACATTGGCTCCATGGGGATGTAGGTGGGAACAGCGATGGGCGGCGCCGGGGCTTCGACAACTGGTGGTTGGCTCTGCAGACGAAGATCGCACGGAGGAGAAGCATGGTGGCCACGAACAGGAGTCCATCGGCGGCGAGGAACTGCATTGGCACGGAGGCCACGAACAACAGAGTCGAAGAGGTGGCCGAAAGGACCATGGCCTCCATTGCCAGCGTTGCGGCGAACACGAGGCTCAAGACGCTCGAAGACGCTGCGGCGCTGTCCATGGTGGCCGTGGTGGCGGATTGGGCCACGGCGAAATCCACCGACGCTACGAAGGGCGAAGAGCAAACCACGAACAAGATGGGACGATAAGTTGATCTTGGCCATGGTGCTTACCGTGGTTTGTTGAGAGAGGCATTCGTTGCCTCTTTCGTTCGTCGTTCTACTTCTATGTTCACGAGTCGTGCTGATAACGTGTTGAATGTGAACGTAAATGAACAGAGATTTTGGAAACAACTGTTGCTTTAATTGATCTCTTATATATATATACAGCGTAAAAATGTGTCTGTTTACACGGAGAGGAAACTGTTCACAGGAACAGTCGACTACCCAAAGGACATGCCCCTTCGGGTGGCATCCTAATGCTAACACGTTAACTGATAACCCTCTCTCTAACTGCATATCATTTCTTGTGGATGATATCACATGGTGAGGAGACGCCTGTTCACCGGTGAAAAGGCAGGCATTGATTCACAACATGATGATTAATGAAAAGTAAATTTCAGAGTTGGACCTCGTTCAGTAGCCGAAGGCCCGAATTAACTCGGCACGGCAGTACTCAACAGCAATCTCCATTTTCCCTGAAAGCCGATAGCGAAGTAGTGAAACAGGGTCCAAAAATCCGACATCACTGATGCTCAAAAGGAAGAAATTTTGGTTTAGAAATCACTACCTTTATTTCTCAAATCAAGTAACGGACTGAAACACCAATGCCACCGCGACACACACGGGGCACGAACTGAACAAAACAATCACTGACAACACAAAACGAAACGAAACGAACATCACAGACACTAACATCTTCTCGCTTTGCTGCTGTCCTGCTCCTGCATGCCCGCTCGCACGCGCCACCCTAGTTCAATTTGTTGGGGAGCTTCTTCTCCTGCCGGGTCGCAGCAGGCCGGGTCGTGTCGTCGTCGTCGACGAGCGGCGGGCACGGCTTCTTCTTGTGCATGAACTTCATCTTGGGCTTCTTCTTGAAGAACGGCTCGGGCTCCTCGGGCACCGGAGGCCTGGGCTCCGCCACGGGCGTGGGTGTCGGCGTCGGGGGCCCGTACGTCAGCGTCGTCGGGGGATTCGGGGTTGGCGTCGGCGTCGGCCTCGGCGGCGGCGGTGGGCCGAACATGTAGTGCTTCTTCTTTTTGCCGCAGGCGCACGCGACGGAGGCGAACACCGTGTCGTCGGTCGCGGCCGCGAAGTAGGTCGTGCTGCTGCTGTCGCCGCCGTCTAATTGGCTGGTGGTTGGCGCGATCCTGGGCGGCGCCTGACGGACGCACAGCGTGCCGATCGAGCTGTGGAGCTGCGCGAAGCAGACTCCCGTCGTCGCGCAGGAGTTCGGCGGCGAGTGGGATACGGAAGACGCCGGTGTCGTCGAGGGGGCCAAGCGCCTTCGTCTCGTACGTCTCGTCGGCGCCGGATTTGCACTTGATTGCTACCTGCAGGTCTGCAGAGCACAGAGGGAACAAAAGTTTTTAGTGTTCGCGGCCATATGCATGGGCCGCAAAAGTTGTGCCGAGCATAGTCAGGCCTGATTCAGGTAGGCATGTGGATGTGGCCCAATCCATGATCATGTGTATGTGTATTACTCGTACGTTGTTTGATACGAAAAACCGTTCGAAATGTGAATGAAAAGCAAAAGTGTGTCATTTGAGAAGAAAAAAAAGAGTAGGCATGTCATTCGGAAATATTGTATGTGATTCGCAACAAATAGTGTGTGTCTGTCTAATATTTTGAATTGGTTTTGGGGACACAGTGTTGTTCTAGAAATTTGTCTCAAAACTCTTGACAGCTTTTATTTCGTTACCAGATAGTACCACATAAAGGCCCTGTTTGGTTTTTACATGCGCTCCTAAAATTTATGTCACATCGAATGTTTAGATACATGCATGGAGTATTAAATATAGACTAATTATGAAACTAATTACACAACTTGCGACTAATTTACGAGACGAATCTTTTAAGCCTAATTAGTCCATGATTTGGCAATTTGGTGCTACAGTAAACATGTGCTAATGACAGATTAATTAGGCTTAAAAATCATCTCACAAATTAGCCTCCATCTATGTAATTGATTTTATAATTAGCCTCTGGAAAACACATTAATGCAGTTGAACCTACCACAATATTTTCATGGATCAAGATCTCTTCCTTGTAAATTTCTTTTGTTGTTCTCATGAACTCTTAGACATATCATTTTCAAATTGCAGAAACCGAAATACTTCCTTGGATCGTAAATATAAGCATCTAGGTTTGTCCTAAGTTAAACTTTTTGAACTTTCACCATCAAATCTAATTTTTTCTATAAATTGACAAAACAAGATTGGCATTACTAGTTTCACCTTGAAAATACTTTCATAATATATGCTCTTTTGACTTTTTCAATGATAATATACCTTTATAGACGAAGTTAGAAAAGTTTGACTTTGGACAAACCTAGATGGACTTATATTTGTGATCGAAGGAAATAGCAATTATACATAATAACCAAGTATTATGTTGATATGAGGCTAAATGGTTTGAAGAATTCTAAGAAAAGCACTGTAGAATTTGACTAAAAAAGGGTGGTTCCTTACAATCAGAAGGTGGAATTTAAGTAGGATGCCTCTAACAGTATATCCCATGTACATAACTGATTGAACAATTGTAGATTTCCATGGAAAAAATTGTTCCATATTTTTACAATATGCGGTCCATGTTTTTTTTGTCGGAGTTGTGTTTACTCCCCACCCCCCGCTTTCTATTACTATATTGTGTTACATGTTTTTATCCTCAAAAGGAAACAGAAATCTTACTATATTATGCTTCTTACGTCCTGTGCTGACAGATGGTTAAGATTAGAGATCCTGAACAGCAGCTTGAGATGGTGGGTGTCCCTGAAGAACACATTCAAGGGCATGCATTCCATCTGTATCATCTCACTTCTCCTGATGACAGGTAATAACCATTCTCCTGAAAATTGATGATACTGCCAACAAAGTAATTATACTCAATCATGGATATTTTTATAGTCTTGCTAATACATAAGGGCAATTTGAAGCATGCTATTTTTTCATCTTTGTTGATTTAATTGTGTACTTTTAGTGTTTCATTTGAGTTCCAGCACAATGTTTGTGGTCGTTCAATCTACGCTGAAGGAACTATTGATGCGGCAATATTTCTGCATAGGAAGGTTGGTTGATGTGTTACTTCGGTTATTTTTTTAAAAGTGGTGCTGCGTTTCAGATACTGCTGGTATCTTACATTCTTACGAAACTGCTGGTATCTTACATTCTTACTCGTATTCTTTAATGTAGGTACAATGAAAGGACTCTAAGAGAATATATAATATGGATGATGTCCTGAGAGAAGGATACATGCGATAAAGTCTACTGATTAGCTGTTCATAAATAATATGCAGCACAGTATTGTTTTTTATTAGTCTATGGATTAGATATTAATAGAGTTGTGTGCGAATTAAATTAAAAGATTATGCACTAAGTTCTTCAAGTTTCTATCAAAACAAAAACATATGAAAAAGAGAACATACATAAAAGGTATATAAGTTTGTTTTAAGGTCAAAGAGGGATCAACTTACTGTTCTGGAGGAAACATATACATAAAAGGTGTATAAGTTGAAGTTTGTTTTAAGGTCAAAGAGCAATCAACGTAGTGTTATAGTAACGGAGCAAATTCATGAATTGTCATATTTATCATCTTTTTGTTCATCAATTCATGTCATGTCAGCTTATTTAATGCCATAAAACTCTCATAAAATTTTCATTGACAAACTCTTTGACACTGCCCTTACACTCTCCTCTGGATAAAATCTCCATGAGAGTTTGGTTTCATGAAGTACCGCGCACCACTTTGAAGTTTAGACGTTCATATCATTCTCTAGTTCAGTACATAGATAACATGGAACAACATGTTTGTATAATGACAGACTTTTGCAGCAGTTGTTCAGGGTAGAGTCTAAATTAGATGATCCACATGTAATCTGATAGTCTTGATGAGCGCTATGCAATAGTGAACTCCATTTGATCATTTGAGATCAACTCTAAAATCGGATCATTTTTTGTCGCAAAGATATTTAAGTGTTGTACATTTTGCCCACCTTTACCCATTTTAGACTTTCGGGTAATTGGGTTGAATATGCGGGGTTCAATAGGAAAAATAACATGCTTCTGTTGATTGCAGTCATAATTTAATATTCCCAACTTCTTGCAGAGCTCTACTAAATAAAAACAGCTCACAGGAAGTTGCACAAGGTTCAACTATCCCCAATAGATAGAATAGAACACACACTCTTAAACTGACCCAACCTTCATGCTGAACTTATCAATGTCACAGACTTATTCTGAGGAAACTGCATAGCCTGCAAAAACCAAGAAAACACTGACCAAACATTCTAGTGCTGAGTCTCCATCGCCGCAGGAGGAAAGAAAGGCAACAACTTCTTGAAGAACGGGAGCAGCTTCTTGAAGAGCTACGGGCCAGTGACAGCGTCGCGCTGCGCCGGCGGGTGGTAGATGGGGGTTGGCTTCGGCGGCGAATACAACGGCGGCGTCGACGGCGCGGTGGGCGTCGACGGAGGCTTGTGCTCCGGCACGGGCACCGGGGCCGGTTTGTGCTCTGGAACGCCTACCGCCGGCGGCTTATTGGTGACAGGCGGAATGGAATGGCCGTGGCCGTGATCAGGTAGGTGAGGGATAACCACAGGCGTGTGGATTCCTACGTGATGGTGATGGTGCATAACGCTGTGGAAGAAAGGGTGGCAAAGGAAAGCCGAAGCGCACTCGGGCGACGAGCGGTAGACCTTGCCGCCGAGCGCAACGAACGTCTTCTCGGTGCCGTCGTGGCCACCGGTTGGCGCCGCGACGATCTTGGACGGCTCCTGCCCGGGGCACGGCGCACTCGACGCGCTGTGGAGCTGCGCGAAGCATTCGGACTTGAGCTCCCCGTCCTCGCCAACGACGTCAGCCGCCAGCGGGACGCTGAAGGCGCCGGACTTTCCCACCAGTCCCACGGCCGTGCTCTCGTACTCGCCCTTGCTGTTCCTGCACTTCACGGCCACCTGAAGACCTGGGCAAAGTAACGACAGATAAATCATTGACTAGCCAGCCAAACTGTCTGCTACTATATCATGACACTGACAGGTTTGGGCTTGTGTAAACTACCTTTGAAAGCTGCCTCAGCGTTCATGTTCCTCCTGGCGCAATCGGAGCACTTGGCCAAGCCGACAACAACCGGCGTTGCTGTCTCTCCTTGCACGGCATTGGCGAAACCTATCGCTATCACAATGCCGAAAACGGCCACCAGTAGCAGTCGTGCTTGGATCTCCATCTAGCTCTACCACTTGTTCGGAGTTGTTGAGGAAGGAGAAGATGTGGATGGGTGGGGAGCAAGGAGTGGAACGCAGGCGTCTATAAATGGGTGCCCAGGTCTGACGACGCAGCTCGATCGCGTGAAGTTAAGTGAAACTAGTGAAGGGCGAAGGCAACCTTGGCCAGCAGCCAGATAAATTGGGCGCCGCCTTTGTAGATCTACAGTTAGCAGCCAGATAAATTGGGCGCCGCCTTTGTAGATCTACAGTTAATATGGCTCCTTGCAATGTGAACAGCGTTTCCTTCGAGTCTACTCCTCCACGCACCGTAGCGCACCTGCATGTGGTCTGGTCATTGGCACACTGTCCACCGTTGTATGGCCTTGCTCAAAAGTTGATCGATGTGCGAAATTCTTGAAAGCCAGAGGGTGAGGGACCGATCACCATTTTTACACTGAACTCGGTGAGATTTTATACGTACTACACTAGTGACAATCATATTCCATGGAGAGACAGTGAACTCTGCCGTTAGGTTACGTTGTGCTACTGCCTGCTGCCACTATTCTCTGCTGTGGAAATTCTTGGCCTCTGTTCAATTCCAAAGCCACCTAGCACCTAACCTGGCAGTTCCAACTTACATCTGGATAACAAACACCACGGCACCACACCATGTTGCTCCCGATCGAGCCGAGACGGCGAGACCCCAGCTGCCGCGCGCGCCATCGAACCAGGTGGCACTCGACAATTCTCGGCAGGCAGGCAGGACCGCGTGACGGGTGGTGGAGATCGTGCCCATTTTATACCGACCTCTGCACGATCGTACGATCTGGATCCGGTGCGCAGTCGACTCAAGGAGAGGTAAATGATGATTAATGAAAAGTAAATTTCAGAGTTGGACCTCGTTCAGTAGCCGAAGGCCGAATTAACTCGGCACGGCAGTACTCAACAGCAATCTCCATTTTCCCTAAAAGCCGATAGCGAAGTAGTGAAACAGGGTCCAAAAATCCGACATCACTGATGCTCAAAAGGAAGAAATTTTGCTTTAGAAATCACACCTTTAGGGCTCATTTGGATGAAGGGTGCCCAATGTGTTTAAGCCCCCAAGGGGTTTTCTCCATTGCACTTGCCGCCCCTATCCCCCAGGAGACGGAATCCTCTAGCGGAAAAAATTACCAGCTACCATTTGAAAACGTGGGGATACAAATCCCGGACGACAAAAAATATTCAGAATAATCAGAAAAAAAACACATAATTCAGAAATGATGTTTTCTCAAGCTGAAACTTAGCACCACAGATAAATTTAGTACTGATACGTAATTCATTTGCATAGACTTTCAAGATTATGGAAGTAAAGACAGACATGTCCAGTTCAAGCAAGGAATAAACATAAAAGCGGCATCGTGGAATGCGGCAAATTGGAAATTTCTTAGTGACTGATACGTTCAGTAGCTTTGACACTTCATGAGATGCCTCTTCAAATGTCCTGGACACTCAAACCTGCATCAACGAACATTGTCATTATCACAAATGTAAATATAGGAGCTGCAAATACTAATGTTAACTGCACACAAGATCATAGCTAGCAACAGACTATCAGATTTCTTGCTTATCAGGGAATGACAACAACATAGTGGGGGAAGAATGGAAAGGCAAGGGGATCTTGGAGGAGCTAGAAGATGTCTCGCCAGTCACCCAAAAGAAAACAAGCAATAAGAAGGCTGCAAGCATGGTGGAAACCAGCCTGAGGAGCAGCAGCAGGCTCAAACAGGTGAGTGGTGGTTTCAGAAAATCAACTTACACTGACAGAAAATGCCTTGCATGCTCCCCTAATCCACCAACTCTAACAGTACAGGTGATCAGGGCTTTGGGAGCCAAACTATGCCAGATAGAAGAGGAGAATTTGGATGAAGAGGTCCTGCTCAGGAAGAGAAAGCAACCAAATCCAGTAGAAACAAAGAAGAAGGGCACGCCCCATCAGAAGAAGCCTACTGGTGATGAGGAAACAAGCAGGGACAAGTCTGAGGATGAAGAATGAAAGAAACATAAATGCTGATGCCTAGCATATGTGTGTTGACAGCCTTTATTTTGTTCACCATGTTAGAAACAAACTGCTTGTACCCCAAAGGCTGCAAAAGCCTCTATGTATCTTCAATTGGAAATGATCTATGCCAGACTGGTTGATGGGTGTTATGGTCAATGTCAGTTAATGTTTCTGTTTTAAGTTCTGAATTGTTGAGTTTAACTTACCTTTGGAGCAATCTCACCCTTGATCCACAATAGGCGAACTCTTGGGTTTGTGAAGTTGATAAAAAATTCTCTATTCACCTCACACTTCATGACGCTTGTTGCTTGCGCCTTCTCTTCATTTGAGAAAAAAGAAAGTTTCCTTGAGGCGACCGGCGGGCGGATGACAAGGACGGGATTACACCACGGCGAGGCTCGCGTTGTATTCCATTTTGAAACTTCGATCTTTCTTATTAAATAAACAAAAGTGCATATTCTCAAAAAAATGTTTGTGGTCATGGCTTTTAAGTCCCCGATATCCTTAGAATCAAAGACAACGGAGATGCATTTGATTAATGGATGATCTCTAGGACATGGACATTTGAGCACAAAGAAATACACCATAGATATGCATTTTCAGAAACACTAAACAGAGAATAAAGTTGTTGCTGTTTCTGAAAACTGTTGTTTCAGAAACACCAAACAAACAAGAATGCATAGTCATAATTTTTGCAGAAATCAGCACAGAGAAATAATGCTGAGCAGACTAGCATCACTTGAAATTACATAACAAATATATAAAATAGTATAATCTGCGCATAGTTAACTGAAGATAGGCATGCAATTAATTAGTGTATCAGATCCCTAAAGCGTATGAGAGCATACATCCATCCGAAGTAATGACCATAATAATTCTTTAACTTAAGACATATTCAGACAAGACAACCGAACTGAACAAAGGTTTGGACAAGGTTCCAAGCATGGCAAACACAAAATTATTGCATGCACTAAGAAATATTTCGGCTGGGTTCGGCTTTGACAACTTAATTTTTGCAGAAATCAGCGGCCACTACTAGTAATGAACACAACACATCAATCAGAACTGAACTACACTACTATTAATGAACACAGAGCACTATCTCAGGAAATGTCTCCTGGAAAAAGCTTACTAACACCTGACCAAGGTGTTTTTTTTAAAAAAAAAAGAACAACAGTGTGCTCTCGTGCAATCCCACTTGTATTGGACATATGTTGATACATTTATTCTGTAAAAGTGCACACGAAATTAACACCTGACTCGACAAAGACAGTGATGCTACTGGTGGTTGGTGACATTCAGGCTTTGGTTACACTATCAGTCCAAAAATATAACTCTGAACATAAGATTCAGAACTCAACCAAATAATATGCACACCCTATACTACACCGCATGTAATCCACGATGGAATCAGAAATTCCAGAATAGTCTAGAAGAGAATAGCGTGCAATCCGGCATTGTAGGAGCAGAGCAAGTCCAAGAAGCAAGAACGGGAACAGGAACAGAGCCGGGCACTCACCTCTCCTTTCCCCTTCTCCCTCGTTGCTCCTGTTGCGCCTTGTCGGTCGTCCCCAACTGCTCCTCCAATTCTTCGACGGGAGTGTAGAGAAATGAAGACCAACAGATCTAACAAGAAATAATATTTTGCAGTTGCAGATCCACTTCTCCCACGACAGATCTAACAAGAAACAACGGAGCCAAGATTGAGAAAGACAGAGGGGAAAGGGACATGGAGACTCACCACGACGACGGACGGCAGGACAATTGGCGAAGACACGGCCCTGGAGAGTGACGACGTGCTCTAGGATGATGGTACCTGGGCGTTCTTGGAGAGACAGAACAGAGGCGGCCGCTGCAGATCCACTTCTCCCTGTAGATCTCCCGCTTCTTGGAGGGCTCGCGCTTCTTCGAACGGATCTAAAGCGGCCTAATGACGCAGGGAGCAGCAAAGGACAGATCAAACCCTAGCCGCCATGGATTCCTTCTACCGAAGAAGGAGTGAACGCCTGACGGGCAAGAAGAAAGCAAGCGAGACAAGGAAATAAATCGACGAGTGTCTCAATGGGGAAGGACCTACAAGGCGGACGAGGAGCTCGAGCCCTAAAGCCGCCATGACTTACCTTGCGAGAGGATGGAGTGCGCGGCAGCGCTGCTTCCCGGTGGATGGATGGAGTGTGTGGCGCTGCTGGCACGAAGCGAGTCGCGGGATGGTGGGAGATGGGGATGCGCGGCGCATGCGACTGGGAGTGGCGGCGCTCAAACCCTAGCCGCCATGTCTTGCTTTGCACAACCGCACGAGTCGAGGCGCGAGAGGCGACGGGAGGCAGAAACACGACTCGGGAGATGATTTTTTATTCCCCCGCGGATCGACGGGGAACGGGCTGACAAGGCACGGGTCTTTCTCAGCGCAAGGGGTATCCAAACGGCAACGCGGAATGGAGGTGGGTGCCGCTCCCATGGGCCTCGCGCTACCCGTGGATGAGGCGGGGATACCGGCGGTATTGAGGCATCCAAAGGAACCCTTATTTCTCAAATCAAGTAACGGACCGAAACACCAATGCCACCGCGACACACACGGGGCACGAACTGAACAAAACAATCACTGACAACACAACAACATCATCAACGAAACGAAACGAACATCACAGACACTCCAACATCTTCTCGCTTTTCTGCTGTCCTGCTCCTGCATGCCCGCTCGCACGCGCCACCCTAGTTCAATTTCTTGGGGAGCTTCTTCTCCTGCCGGGTCGCAGCAGGACGGGTCGTGTCGTCGTCGTCGACGAGCGGCGGGCACGGCTTCTTCTTGTGCACGAACTTCATCTTGGGCTTCTTCTTGAAGAACGGCTCGGGCTCCTCGGGCGCCGGAGGCCTGGGCTCCGCCACGGGCGTGGGTGTCGGCGTCGGGGGCCCGTACGTCGGCGTCGTCGGGGGATTCGGGGTTGGCGTCGGCCTCGGCCTCGGCGGCGGCGGCGGTGGGCCGAACATGTAGTGCTTCTTCTTTTTGCCGCAGGCGCACGCGACGGGGGCGAACACCGTGTCATCGGTCGCGGCCGCGAAGTAGGTCGTGCTGCTGCTGTCGCCGCCGTCTAATTGGCTGGTGATCCTGGGCGGCGCCTGACCGACGCACGGCGTGCCGATCGAGCTGTGGAGCTGCGCGAAGCAGTCACGGTCCATGCTCCCGTCGTCGCGCAGGAGTTCGGCGGCGAGTGGGATACGGAAGACGCCGGTGTCGTCGAGGGGGCCAAGCGCCTTCGTCTCGTACGTCTCGTCGGCGCCGGATTTGCACTTGATTGCTACCTGCAGGTCTGCAGAGCACAGAGGGAACAAAGTGGCTGTTGATTAATTCGAGAAAAATATCGTTGGTTGGCTGAAAAATATGGCTTATAAGCCAAACAAACAGGACCCATATGCATAGGCCGCAAAAGTTGTGCCGAGCGTAGTCAGGCCTGATTCAGGCAGGCATGTGGATGTGGCCCAATCCATGAAGTTGTATGAGTATTAGTTACGTTGTTTGATACTGAAAATTCGAAATGTGAATGAAAAGCAAAAGTGTGTGTGGAAAGAGTAGGCATGTCAATCCATGTGATTCGCAACAAATAGTGTGTCATGTCTAATATTTTGAATTGGTTTTGGGGACACAGTGTTGTTTAGAAATTTGTCTACTCTGAAAACCGTTCGAAAAGGCCCTGTTGGGTTTTGAATGAAAAGCAAATGTTTAGATGTCATTTGAGAAACTAATTACACAACTTGCGAAATCTTTTTAAGCCTAATTAGTCCATGATTTGGCAATTTGGTGCTACAGATAAACATGTGCTAATAATGATTAATTAGGCTTAAAAATCATCTCGCAAATTAGCCTCCATCTATGTAATTGATTTTATAATTAGCCTCTGGAAAACACATTAATGCAGTTGAACCTACCACAATATTTTCATGGATCAAGATCTCTTCCTTGTAAATTTCTTTTGTTGTTCTCATGAACTCTTGACATATCATTTTCAAATCGCAACAAATAGTGTGTGTCTGCCAAATACGACCAAACGAACAGGCTAAGTGTTGTTCCAGAAATTTGTCTCAAATTTTATTTCGTTACCAGCTAGTACCACATAAAGTTTGTTACTTAGAAAGGCAGTAGCGCTCTAGTCGGGCCAAATTTTCATGTCCGCAACAGAGCTAAACCAGTAGTGCAAGTGTGCAGGCAGGCGATTTGCATGTACCTTTGAAGGCATTGGCATCGTTGGGGGAGCAGTCCAAGCACTTGATGCAGCCAACCACGATCGGCGGCGGCGCTGCCGCCTCTGCCTTCTTCCAAGCCGTCGCGCCGAAGCTCACGGTCAAGAGCGCAGCCAGAAGAACCGCGGCTTGCTGAGGAAGCAGAGTCCCCATGTTGGAGCCGGCCTGCAGCTGGCTGCTGCTTCTTCGTCTAAATTTGATGAGGAAGAGAAGGCGGTGTTTGGATGGTGAGACGGTGCTCGAGTGCATGCGTTTATATCCGCCAAGGGGCGGGACGGCAGGTAGTGACAGTGTGACACTGTGGCCGGCCGGCTGGGCCATTCAAGTCTGGGAGGGACAGGTACTGGCCGGCGTCCATGAGACCAGCTCGTGATGAGGAATAAAATGTGTGAGCGATGCGATGGAGGTTTCCGGTGGAGTCTCAATACTGTTTTGATCATTCCAGTCCGTGAAGATTCAAATTCATTACTGGCCGAACTTTTCATTGCTGTTACTACTGTACAAAGAATTTGTGCCGGCGGCGAAAAGATTCAAATTCATTTCGAAAAGTACGTATTGTTCGCTGATTTGTCGTGAGAGAAAAACATTGTGATAAGCCAGATAAATTCTAAGCAGGCTTCCATGCACGCAGGTGCTTTCTGCGACCGGCGTTTGAAATTTGAAGTGGCCAACGGTACAGCTCCTCACCGATGTGGTGTGCGTGCTTCATCTGTCAGGGTGGCTCATAAACCTCGCACGGCGCATGCATGGTTTGTGCGTGACGGGAGGGGCCGGGCGGCCGGGAGAGCCGGAGAGGGTGGGTTTGCACCAACCATGTGCGTGCCATGACCGATGGAGCACGTAAACAGTACCCGCAGGCCGGCACGCGGTGCGTACGTCGCTCCAGTTAATTGGGAAGCGTTGGTGACTGGCGACAGAGTCGTATCGGTGGGCAAGTAGCAGTGAACATGCTAGGCACGTCATGGCCGTTTTAACATCTTGGATCGTAGCCTCACGCTGCACGGCCAATAGCTGTGAATTGGTGATTGCTATGAATGGCCGGGTGAACGCTTGTAGCGTCCTTTGGCGTCCATGTGAGAAACCGAACAATTTTGTTGCAGTCCTCCCTTTGTAAGGACTGAGAACAAAATTATACAACGGGGACTGGGAGTATATGTTGGCCCAAAAAGCACAAATACAATGGTTCGGGTCCGTGCAGACCGTATTTCTTCACCTGACCTTCATGGTACTCCCGCGGTGCAAATGATATGCATATTTTTCGACCGATCTGAGTCTAAATCCGTTTAGATGAGTAGATCCATCTGTTTTTTAGTATGGATATTCAACATCCAATACAGTATCCGTATGCGAATATTAAAATCGTATATTTATAATGTTGATATCCATTTATATTCTATCCAACATAGTTGGTACTATAGGTATTGGAATCCGAATAGAAATATACAAACAAATATAATATCATCGATATCCGTCTATATCCAATCCGTTTGCATCCTCTCTGCACGAAGGTCATGAATAATCTTTTTAAAAAAACTTCAGCTTCTCACTAGCTCTCCTAAGTTGCCCTTGAAAGTTGACAAAGTAACTATGGCCAGCAAAATGATATCTATACCTAATACTAAATAATGAATGGATTCTTCCAGCCATCTGTTTTACTTTTCAAAATACCTGGCGTTTTTTTGTGTCCCGTTTGTTAGAACAATTCGCGTTTAACGATGGTACAAAATCCAATTTCAAGATATATTAGCTCCAGTTGTTGTGTACGTTTGCTAGTGAAGATAAATAATTGATAATAAGTACACTTAGAAAATTGCGAACGACACCAATACCTCATATCAATAGGCAATGTTTTATTTATTTTCGAGACCTTTATAAACCATAATTTGACATTATTTTTAAATAGAAGAAAAACATATTTGGCCTTAATCAGATTTTCTAAATTCATTTTCTATAATAAATATCAGCGCAAAGGCATCAATACAAGAAAAATACATTATATTATAAAAACTTAGATAATCATATTTTCACTCTCTAAAAAGATAATAAATTAACTAAGGCTTGAAAAATAGAAAAATATCATTTACTTTTTAGTGAAAGCTATTTATAACCCAAAATAAAAAATTTGGAGTGTGACAATTGTACGAGTAAAAAAGGTGCTAAACATAACCTTTAGATCCTTTTGACTAAGATTTCGGGCATCCATATATTTGTGGTGAATTTCCTAGGGTTCTTGGACCATGTGTCAATAAAACTCAATCAAGTTTTAAATTCTAGACTTCAAAATAATTCCTTAACAATGTGTTTGGTTCGCCGGACGACCTGCTGCGACCTACATCCGAGCCTGGCGCTGGCGTTTGGTTCAAGTCGCAGGATGGATCCGTTTGTCATCAACCTATTCCTTTCCCTGTATAAATGCGTCGCTACCCCATCCCTCCAGAAACCATCGGACGACATGGTCCGTGACCAAACCAATAGTGCAAAGGTAATTATCCGAACCTGCTAGGAATGGGTCCATGCCGGATGAGTTGGTGCCAGCCGTGGTCCTTCCGCAATCCAAACACGCTGTAAATCTCCCATGCTCCCTAGGCACCAATATAACTAAGGTGAATTACATATGAAATTTGGATCAAGTTAAAATGAAATTCAACTAAGTTTGAATTTTGTATATAGAGATAGAAAAACAAATCTTTCTCGATCTCTATCCTCAATATGGGCCAAAACTTTAGCCCATTTCCTTTTTCCTTTCTTATTAAGGCAAGCTTAGCCTGTAGGCCTTCCCTCGACCTCAGTCGTTAATGGCCCAGTGTGCCTCCCTCCCTTCCCCTTTGAGGCTTTGACTGCAGCCCAGCAGCGCCCCATTTTCCACCCTCTCAACCCAACAAAGTTAGTTTGAGTGCATTTATTTGAGATTGTAGATTTTAACATATTTTTATATAGATTCTGTCAAATTTGGATAAATTTGAGTTAGGACCAAAAAAAAACTACTCCCTCTATCTAAACTATAAGACGTTTTGATCTTTTTAGATGTATAACTTTTGTCATACACTATGTCTAGATACGTGGGAAAAACAATATATTTAGAAAAAGCACAACGTCTTAAAATTTATGATGGAGAGAGTACTTAAAATAGAAATGGAGTAATAAATTTGTGGTAAAACCTTTTGCCTTTTTGATAAAAAAAAGGGTCTGGCTTTTCGCTGTAAATGGGGGAGGGACAAGCAGTGGAAAAGCTCATTAGCAGGGAGAAGCATAAAACTTCCTGAGGCTGAAGATACATGAAGACCGCCAGATAAAAATATGTGGTTCAAAAACCGAATGTTTTCATTCCTCCAAACACTTTTTAGATAGTGGAACACTAGTGTGACATAGATAACTCTTTGTTTTTTAGCTGAGAATTTTAACAAACAATTTGCAGTCTCAAGATTATACTACAACGACAATACCCCAATGACATCACCAAACAAGAACCACCCAAACACAATACATCTACCGGCTACTTGTGCCGGAGATAACAAGAGTTTAGTACACCACAACCATTTGCACGCGCGCATGTCTCGAATTCAGAGGCCCAGACCCATCATGGCGACGGCAACGGTGAGCCCCAAAGCAACTGAGGTCCCAACGAGGCTGCATCCATGCTTCGGTGCCCCACTATCGTACGGGCTGTTGTCCACCAGCGGCTGGTTGCCGAATCCGAACGTCTGCCCCACATCCTGCACGGCCTGTCCCTGCCCCGCGGCGGCGGCGGCGCCACCGAACTGATCCGCTTCCTGAGGCAGCGGCGCCAGTGGCAACTCGGGCTGCGGCAATGGCGTCGCAAGCGGTGCCTCGGGTTGCGCCACGCCGCCAGCTCCAACTCCGGCTCCGGCTCCGACGCCGTTGCCATAACCGTCTCCCTGTCCAAACGGCAGGTCGCTGCTCCCGTGCCCGATCGGCTCGGCGAACGGGGGCAGAGCGGAGGCCAGGCCGGGCGAGCCGGGCATCCCGCAGTGCTGCGCGGCGCGCGGCTCGTCGCTGGCCTTCCACGCCAGCTCGCCTCCCTTGTCGAGGATGCGCATGTCGCCCTGGTCCACCAGCTGCAGCGTCTGCAGGAAGTTGTGGTCGTCGGACTGCGCGTCGTGGGTGTGCCACACCGAGGTGCTCCCGTCGAACACCTCCAGCCCGTTCCACGAGAACACGAGCGCGCACTTGTTCACGGTGCTCACCGCCATGCACTCCGACTCCCACACGCTCCGGCCCTCGGCGCCCGGCGCCGTCGTGTCGAGCACCTCGACGTAGCAGAAGTCGGCGCCTAGGCCCCCGGCGCCCGGCGTGGTCTGGGTGCGCATGAAGTACGCCGCGTACTTCCCCGACGGCGACGTGAGGAACAGCACGGGGTTCTCGTCCCAGTGCGGCGGGATGCTCGCCAGGATCTGCTGCTTGGTCTCACGCTGTACCGTGCCGGCTGGGGCCGTCGCCGTCGCCGCGGCGTGGGACGGGAGCAGAAAGGCTAACGCGAGACACACGACGACAATGTGCAGCGGAACGCTGAGCTGCATGGCTGCTGGGTTGGGTTTTCGCCACTCGTGCGCTGCTCTCTGCAGGTGGAAGGGGGGCTTGTGTGTTTATGCTTGTGCATGGACTGGCGACCTGGCGTGTCTTTTATAGTTAGAGATGCAGATGGAGTGGTAGAGGGTGATGATGGTGTAAAGGCAACGTTGAGTGGTTGACGATACCGGCTCCAATGTTTCAGTGGGAGATTAGGAAAGAAAACGAGCACAGAACTTCGCTAGGAGATTTGTTATGCTTGGGGTTGACTAGCTTGCATTTGTGACGTGCATCAGCCGATAGCTGAGGATTGTTAGTCATATTGATTGGAATCGATTGAGAATGGAGCGCACTTAGGAAGGGCATGACTGACAGATCTGAATCCAAATTGACGAAGAGGTCCATTTCAATTTCAACACAGGATCAGGTTTTATGTAGACTAGGTAGCGTGCCTGTGCGTTGCTACGGGATAGCTAACAATGCATACTAAAAACACACGGATCGTATGATAAGATAACAATACTGTAAAAATTAAATATCAACGTTAAAGTTACAGTTAATCCAGCTCAAATGCATTTGTCATTTCCAACTCTTGAGAAAAAAAATAGTGGGTTTTGAAATACAAACCAATAAAAAAATGGCTTCAAATTTCAGTACACTTACAATATAAACTACAAACTGCAATGGAAAGCATTCAGATTTTTTATTTACATAGTAAGATACTTGTGCTAAACGAGCATAACATAGAAGTCAAACAACTGATCACATCGGAAAATTAAGTCCAGCGTAGCAAATAAACAAAGCCTAAGTAAAACTTGAATGTAGCATGGCATTCTCCATATAAAAGCAGACCACCTTGTGTGAAGAATTACCTGCTTCTAGCACAGTAGAATTAACTAATCTTCATCACTCTCGCTAAAGTTCCATAAATCAACTAAATCGATCAACAATAGCATTAAATTGAAGAACCAATGAGATGAGCACAGCGGTACACACCTAGTCCAAGTCATCACCCAGCGGCAGCACGGACCTGATTTGCGCCATTCTAGAAAGGCAATAGCAATATAAAGTGATGGCCATAGTGGAGCGTATTTATCATGTCTGCATTATGTTACAGTACTGTGAACCCACACGCCTACAGAGAGATGGCTACAAGAATACTCGCATAAGTAAACAGAAATATAAAGCAAGGAGCATGCACAAGCAGTGGGCGTGGTCATAATAATAACCTACTCATTGGAAACCAAACCTGTGTAAACAGAACCATGAAAGACACCGCTGAGGCTCCCAAATGTTCTTCCTTTGTAATCTTACATGCCTCTAGGGTAGTCTTCTCAAGTATTTGGAGAAAATTAGAAGTAGCATTCAGTGAGAAACTATATAACCCGTAGTATATATACATCACAGCGTATAAAAAATAAATAGATAGAAGGAGATGAGACATCAAAGTGTATGCACATGCCTGCGTATAGAACGGAAAATAGGCAGTAACCTGCGGCGTGTGCTGGCAAGTTGTGGTTGCTGTAATGGAAATCCAAAGTCTGCTATGAAAAAAAATAGATCTAAGAAGTCAATAAATAGCATTGTCAGGAAATAACAGATGCTGTAGGATTTGGTTGGTTCTCCGATCAGTACACATCCGAACGTAAACAACGTGGTTCTAAAAATAGGGAGTGACCTGTGACCCATGCAAAGAGCTGAATGCTTTGCTCGGTGTAACGGAGGCATAGAGTCTGCTGTAGAGCAAACAAAAGAATTTAAAAAGGGAAGAAACAGTAGCATCAATAAACAACAGGTGTCGTAAAATCTGATTTTCCAATCAATATACATTGAATGTAAACAACATGAATATAAAAATAGGCACTAACCTGTGGCGTGTGAAGAGATTTGCAATGTTAGGGTTGCTGTAACAGCACTACGGCCTTGTTTAGATGACATCAAAGTTCCAAGTTTTTTCACTCTCTCTCCATCATATCAATTTTTGGACGCATGCATGGAGCATTAAATGTAGGTAAAAAAAGTAACTAATTGCACAGTTTAGTTGTAAATCACGAGACGAATCTTTTGAGCCTAGTTAGTCCATGATCGGACAAAGTTTGTCAAATACAAACGAAACGTGCTACAGTGTCCAGATTGCAAAAATTTGCAATCTAAACATAGCCTACGAAGTGTGCTGCAAAGCAAAGAAGGATTTAAGAGCTCAATAAATAACAGCATCCTGAAATAACAGAAGCTATAAAATGCAGTCTTCCAATCAATATTTTTCCGAGAAGCACAAAAAAAATGTGCATGAAGGAGAAAACACAGGTTAAGCACAGAAACTAAAAGTACATGGGCAGCAAGAAAAATATTCATGTATTGTAGGTTAGGAAATGTGGCAGAACCGCCTAATCTAATGCCTTCCAGGAGTGCTCGTCTTCTATTAGACACTAAGCACCCAAGGGAGAGCACCAAATTACTCGGTTCCGTCGGGCACACCCCAGGGGAGAACCCGAAAATCCACATTTTTTCCATCAGGATCACAAATGAGAGAATAAAACTTACATCATTCTTAACCATTTCTTACATCACTTTTAATACAATACCAGAGTATAATATTTATTATTACAACAGTGGAATGTAATCATATTATCAGAGTTATGAATAATTTAATGTAACAGCGAAATATAAACATGTGATCAAAATTACAGCGAAAATAATTATCTAATCATGACATGATGAAGCATTGATATATGACTAGGACAACAGATTATAAAACTTTTATTTATAAAATCATTTAGTAAGAGTTATAAACAAAAAATACGATCGCAGCGTAAAGGAATCCTCGCTGAGCCCACCAGGAGGTATCCACACACAAGAGTCAGCTCTAGCATCCACCTGTCACCTGCAACAGGGGGAAATAAAACCCTGAGTACTCAATTGTACTCAGCAAGACTTTTCCAACATGAGGAAAGAAAAGACTCCAAGGATATGCAAGACTATCTGGCTTGTGGGTTTATTGCATTTGCATGAAGCATTACTAAGCGTGCGTCCTTATATTCGATTTTTATTAATAGCCACATTGGTTCATTAACTAACCATTTTATATAAGCACCTGTACTACTTTCAAGCAGGTGGTAAGCAATCATATTTTCTTTTTCCATCTTCCATCTTTTATCTTTTAGTTCTTACTACGATGCTAGAGTTAACACAAGTCATACTGACTCCACGATGATTCGCGAACCAATGTGCCCAGCTGGGTGCCTCAAAAACACACGCCCCGCTTGTACCCCAGGTACAAGCAGGACCAACCCATCACCCTCCTATCCTGGGTGTCCAGGTCCCCGTCCAAACTGGGACTCTAAGCCTCCGCCCCTGAGTCCTGGACTCAGTGCAGTGCAAGGACCTCCTCCACCAAAAAGAAACCCTGACAATCGGTCCGGAAAGAGCCGGATCCACGATAAGAGAGCAACAAGTCTTCCAAACGCCCATACCCAAATATGTGCTCGGGACAATAGATCTGTGACTTACCTATCGTCCATTGCAACGGCCGGTCCTTAATCGACCAGACAGGAAAAGCAGTGTAAGCAAGCCATGCCCCGCGTCCACGGCGACACAACCTCTTACACCCACCAATACCCAAACCATATCCTTGCCCGGTCACCATTTTCCTTTCCACCATTTATATTTCCCAAGTGATAATAATATAGTAATATATTTCCTATCTCTCGCGAGTGATAGGCAATCACTCGACTTCTACCGGGGTCCTGTAGCATAGCAATCTACACGATCCTGTCATACTAGTAACAATCATAGGATAAAGATATATTTATGCAAGTGGGTTTCATTCAACTCCTTAAAACTTAATGTACAAATATAATTTAAACTGCAGAAAAGTAGGGGTTATGCACCGGGGCTTGCCTAGATAAAATATATATTAAAAGTTAGTATCTGCATCTTCAGATCATCCACCATCAACTGAATAGAAAGTCCATTGCATCATCCCTTGGAGAGAATACAATTACACCATCTTCGGACTCCCAATCATCCTTCAATTGATCCGTTGACCCATCATCGTACCTATATGATATGCATTGATGCAAATATATAAATGTAAATAATCAACGACAGCCGAAATGCTTAGAAGTCCGATGACGCCTCACAATCTAACGAGATAGCTCTAACGCTGGTCTACGCATCCAAGTTGTCGAGTAAGACGTTATTTCCCAACAATTATTTTAGTTATACAAACCCAAGATGTTTCTTTATTCTATTCTATCGATTTAATCTTTATTCGCAATAGGACATCATTATCTATTTAAAAACTAATTATTCCGGAGCTACAAAAATTACAGTGAATACCTAACATTGCTAGGAGCCTACTGTACAACTTTCAGATTAACACTATTTCCAATTTATCATGGAAATTCCTACAAGTTATCTTTTTACAATATTAAGTACCTTAAATTAATTATATAGCTTTCAAGAATATTATCACACTATATGAACAAACTATACTAACAGGTAGATCATAATTTTAGGATACTAAAAAAACTGGTTTGGCATTTTTATGATTTTCTACATTTTATTATCAATTTCCAAGTATTTAGACACTTGCTGAAATTAACGAAACACCAAAACAGTTAAAAGGGTCCTTGGGCCCGAAGCGACCCAGCAGACATGCGGCGCACGTAGCCCAGCAGACGCGTGGCGCACGCGGCGCCCAGGCGGCGCTGCGAACGGCCCAGGCGCGTGCGGCAGGCCGGCCCGGCAGCGTAGCGCGGCCCACCGACCAGGCGCAACTGACCAGCCCAGGCAGACCAGGCGCACGCAACGGCCCAGCTAGGCGGCACGAGGCCGGCCTAAGCGGCGGTGGCGGCCCAGACAGTAGGCCAACGGCCCAACGCGGAGACGGCGCATATTGTAGAAAGAACCATGCACTTTTCCCTATTCGCTCTGAGATCCACAAGCACTATTCCTTCGAGTCACGTATTTTGCACCGAGGACCCTGTACAAAGTTTCAGCTTGGATT